CCAGTTTTGAACAATTATTTTCCCCCGTGCATTTCCATGTATCCAAACAAGCTCTTGGATTTTTTTATTTTTTTTTTTTGATCGGCAAACAAGTTCTTAGATTTGATTCCGAATATCATCAGGTGTTGAGTAGGTTTAAATGCATGGTTTAGACTGCTACTTACCCAATGATTTCTGATCTGCAGATTGTGAACTTGGAATTGAAAACCATAAGAAACACACCTGGAGAAATGTATACAATAGCTTTCCAGCGAGCATGTCTAAAAATGATGCTCATGAATTGGTACATGGATCACTCTTATCACCCTAGCACAGCGATGAACAGAGAAGGCATCATGGCCACGTTCATATATGGGAAGGCATGTTTAAGCATGTTTGGGACAAAAATTTTATACCTACTGTTCTTATTGTTTATATGCACTATCCTAAGCTCTGTCTAGAGGACTATTCATTCAAAATTCTCTTGATTCCCTAAAAGACCTTGATCCCTTAATCAAGCTAACACAATTTTCTATATTGCTTTTTGAACCATGTTGTAGAACAACTTGACAATAGTCAATCATTTTATGCAAAGAAATGGAAAATGAAACCAATTCAATTCTATAATCTAGGGTTTAGAATTTAGAGTAGAACATGACAAACAAAGCATATTTTGTCAAATCCCAGACCCTATAATCGAATCTGATCCGACATGGGTAAATTCGAAACATGCACATGACAGACAGAAGGATTTTGTTTCAAGGAATAAGGAAAAACATAGAGGACTTTAACGGTTTTAGAAAGAATATGCTTGCAGTCTAGCAACAATGTTAGCGTTGGACCAACCAACTCTTGATCCATAATAGTTGTAAAAGTATGGCAACTTGCTAAACAACATGCCCATGGTTAAAATACGAAACTGATCACACGCAGCACAAATTGAAAGCCAGTGACTAAGGAGGATGTTTCGACGTACATTGTCAAATGCAAAATCCAATATATCTTAATGGGAGTAAACAATTAAGGTGGCAATTTCTTCCTTATCTCATACTTTCGTTTTGAGCATGGTGTCAATATGGACTGCATATACAAGACAAGAGATGAACTTAATAAAGTGTAGTTAAAACAGAAAAAAAGTGAACTTATTGGCAAAAAAATAAAAAATCAATCATTTGCTAACAATCGGTAACTTTTAGTTGAACTAGCAAACCAAGTCAATAACGTTATTGATAGTAATTAACTTCAGAAATTAGAACATGGCATATCAAAGAACAAAATCTTCACCCACGTAAGGATTATTCAATTTTTTTTCCATAATTCTTCCACATGCACAGTTAGATTTGAGTCATTTAATGTGAAAATTAAAAGACTGAACAATATTGCTTTCCTGGTTTGCAGTTGCAGGACATTGTTGGCAATAACACTCAGCATCTTATGTTTCACAAGCAACATGATCCGCACATATCAGACAAAATCCACTTGACAAATATTTATTCTGGAAATTAAGAGATTTATGAGGAATTAATCTCCTTATATAGTCTCATACAGGAGACATGTGAGATGTATAAACGTCAGTCCACCAGAGAGACAAAGCCAACAATGCCAGAAATATCGAGTTTTCTGCCTCAACAAAATCTAGGCTACTGAAAGTACTTTCGTAGGAGCAAGGAATTATCCAGTATTGCTACAGGCCGGTGCAGGGGAAGCCCAATATTTATCCCAAAAGTCATGATCGTACGGTACAGCAAAGCTAAACCACAAGCCTAAAACTCGTGAGGCCTTCTTTTGTAGGCCGTCAACGCCTTATTCAGCACAGAATGTCAAGCACCTTAAGAATATATATTTATTTATTTATTAATCTGAATAAGTTATATAACAGGATAATCTCAAGTTATGAATCTAAAAATTAAGTTCTTAACCATTAGGACATTCTTAAATGACATCATAAGAAAGTATATTATGGTTACAAGGAGTGTTGATTAATCACTATTATGGAAGTTTAGTTTGAAATTGATCAAATTTTTTTATTCTACTCAAGCAGAAAATTAGAATTACTAAGTCTGTTACTAGCCATGCAGATGATACTTGCCATTTTAATAAAGAAAGAACCAAAAGCTTCAGACATTATTGAGTTCTAACAACACAAAATTGCTAAGATAAAATTAGATTTAAGAAACGTAGCTGCAGTAAAATGTAAAGTATGACGAGACTAATGGAACTGCAATTGTACCACGACTACTTCTGTGATTTGTGATTGCTACTACTGGCAGAGCTGTTCAACTGCTGTCACGATCTGGGCAGGCTGAACAACGGTCCACTCCTCCAATGTGCCAGCATAAGGAGTAGGTACATCCTGTGAAGATAAGCACACAATTGGAGCATCCAAGTAGTCATGGAAATTCTCATTGATAGCAGCAGTCAAGCTAGCACCAATGCCACCAGTTCGCATGCATTCCTCCACGATCAGAACACGGTGCGTCTTCTTAACAGAGTTGCCAATGGTGTAGAGATCAAACGGTTTCAAAGACCTGATATCAATCACTTCAGGATCATATCCCTTGTTCACCAAAGTTTTGGCAGCTTGCATCACATGATACCTCATCCTAGAATAGGTCAAGATAGTCACATGCTCCCCAGGCCTCACCATCTCAGCTTCCTCAAGGTTACATATGTAATCTTCATCAGGAATTCTCTCCTTGAGGTTGTAAAGCAAAACATGCTCAAAAAGTATCACAGGGTTCTCACTTCTGATTGCTGCCTTCATTAAGCCCTTAGCATTATAAGGCGTTGAGCAGGCAACCATTTGAATTCCAGGAATTGATTGAAAATATGATTCAAGACGTTGCGAGTGCTCAGCCCCAAGTTGCCGGCCAACTCCACCAGGTCCACGAATGACTACTGGTATGGTAAACTGACCACCAGAAGTATAGTGGAGCATTCCACAGTTGTTGGAGATCTGATTGAAAGCAAGGAGGAGAAATCCCATGTTCATACCCTCAACAACTGGCCTCAGACCAGTCATGGCAGCTCCAATGCCCATGCCAGTGAAAGAGTTCTCAGCAATAGGAGTGTCAAGAACCCTGAGGTCCCCAAACTTTTCAGCCAGCCCTTTGGTCACTTTATACGAGCCTCCATAGTGACCCACATCTTCACCCATTACACATACATGGGGATCCCTGTCCATTTCTTCCTCCAATCCCTCTCGTAAAGCCTCAAAAAGTAAAATCTCATGACTGCAATATGTTACATGTGTATTATGTGTTAGTTGATTGTCAATTAGTAACATTTACACATCAAACAAAACTGAATTTAGAATTTGATGGTACAAAAGGATGCAGTTGCTATAGTTTCAATAATAAATATATCGATTCATTAGGAAGCATTTGGTTGTACAGAAGCATGTTCAATAAATGAGTGTAGCAGGTATTTAAATTTAAATTTTGCACATCTGATCAGAATGACGTTGGGAAAAGAAAGGTTTGCTTTTCTAATGTGGTAATTATACTAGTGATTGAGGACCAAAGGATTAAAAGTCCTCAAAGATGGTTCAGACATGTGCACTGAGTTCACTGACCAAAGTTATAGAAGTATGCCAGCAAATAAAGGCAACTCTGGAAACAAAGGCATGAAAATTGAAAAATAAGCAACCCAACCATACAGGAAAAGAAAAAAACAAAAGAACAAGATGTGGTCCTCAGTTTAGAATAAACCAAAGGCACAAAATATGTGCATGCAGCATGTAATAACTAGATAAGCTAAAGGCTAGGCAAAGAATGTTTCTTGGACACCAAAAGGAATCAGAATAACATACACCGAGTAATAAATGTTAGTTGGAAAATTAGTCAGCTCTATAAAATGTTGCTAACAAGCCTATAGGCAGAATATTTTCATGAAAAATATTCAGTTTTTGAAAGAAAAATATTAAACATTCCAAGTAAAAAGTCCAAGCACAAAAGTTTTAGAATAAAAATAAAAAATCTATGATAGAAGCATTTTATGTTTATTCTGATCCATACAGAATCTGATAACTTTTCCATTGCTAGCATAACTTCATAATACTTAAACATCAAAACCAATCATAAAATAACCAAAACCAAAAATTGTCATGTGGTTAAAAAACACACACACATAAATCAACATATATCTAGACATTAGATTCTCTACTGATTCCATACAAATAAAAGATAAACTAGTCGAACAAAGTATCCCAGGAGTTTTCCTAATATATATAAAACCAGAATACTTCCGGAAAATTGAGAGTATCATCACATATTTTAAGAGCTCATAAAACTCTCATTACAGCAGCTACTAGCAAGTATCATTGCCCACAAATCCACAAGTATCACACTTAACTAGAGCTTAGTTAACCAAACTGTCAGCCAATGAGAGTGAATTGAGCTGGACAAAATACAAGTTTACCCTTCAAGCCTGTAACTTTGCTCAATTTGGTGTCAGATTGCACTGGATATATATCAATTTTGGTCAGTTCCTACATCTGCTAACCTATTTTTTAGCAACCGAATATTAGTTATCACGAAATAGAGTTTGCTAATGATTGCTTGGAATTGATTCAGCACGTAAACAATACAGAACACTAGCAAAACCAGTAACAACACATTTCATCGAGTTCAAGCTATCAAGCACAGCCTAAATTGTCAATGTTACAACTTATAACACTAGAAAAACCATAATTTAAGATGAGAAGACCAATTAGAGAACAAGAAAGACAGCAAATTGAAGACCAAAAAAAAAAAAAATTTGAGATAACCGGAGACAACAAAATAAATAGCAAATCATATCGTACCCGGATTTAGACGCAGTAGAAGCCGCAGAGTCATCAGTCTTGGTCTAGAAATCCAGAAAACACTATAAGAATCCCAGAACACTATAAACAAAAGAAGAAACAAAATGAAACGCAATGATAAAAAGTAAGAGACTTAACTGCAACTGCATTTGGAATCCATAGATGATCCTTGCGACCTCTCGAATTCAAGCTCAGGTTCACACTACTATCAGATCTAACCACAGCAATCCTTCCTTTCCTTGCTGCACCAAATACATTACTTCTCAAATCAAGGAAACAAAAAAACACACAGGCAATAAGAAAATTGAAGAGAAATCGACAGAACCTGAGAGAGATCTGCTCGGAGCGAGCTGGAATTTCTTGGAATCAACGGAATGGGAAGGAGAAGGAGATAGAGCAGTCGCGGCTCCCACTCCGTGGAAGATTGCGGCCATTTGATTCCCGGAGGAAGGAAACGGAGTGCGAAGGATTGAGAATGAGGGAGAGAAAATGGGAGCGAAGAAAAAGAGAGGGAATGGAGATTTTAAAGGGGAAAGGGAACGGAGCGCCGGCGAAGAAACTGAGAAAAGGAGACTCTTTGTAGACGGAGTTTTTCAGCTTCAGCGACACACTGCATTGGACGCATAGTTTGCATCGCCAATTTTCTCTTTTGCGATTTAATTCGCTGCATCCGTTCGTTTCTAAAGCACGAATGAAGAAGCGCCACGGTGGGTAAGGCTGAATTTGGAGTCACGGATTTGCCCTGGGATGGGTTATGTGGTGGATTCTGATTGGTTGGGGTAGAGGAGCACGTGAGGTCCGCGTGATGATTCCTGTGTGTTGAATTGATTTGATCGTTGGTGAGCCACCTAGACCAACCCTACCTAAACAGGCAACTCGTTTGTGTCTTATTGAATGAAAATAAAAAGAAAAATGTTTCGAGCCTCCCAAGTTGGTCACAACTTCCGGTTAAGTGCGGAGGCTACCTTCGTCACCTTCCTACCTATAAAGGTTAAAAGTTACTTTGTGTACGAGTGATATTTAATATTTGATTTTTCTTAATAATTTAAATAATTTAATAATTATTATTTTTTATTTAAAATAAAAAATTTTATATTTAAACTATATAAGTAAAATAATAGAAGGGAGGATAGATTATTGTTTTTTTATTATGTAATCAAAGTAAAAAAAAAATATTTGATTTGAAATTTTTTGAAATAATTTTTAAAATTTTATATTTACCTAAATATTTAAAGGTCTATACTTGATATTTAATTCAATAAATGTTAAGTAATTTATAAGAATATACTTATAGATTTGGTTTTTTTTTTTAACAAGTTGTCAAGGGACGGGCTTGAAATTCGCCCATGAGAAAAAAAAAAATGCACCTCAAACTGGCAGGTTGCCAATTGACCCAAAGGGTCTAGTGCGTACTTATAGATTTGATTTAAAGACTAAAAATGTGTAATATAAAATATTATTGTTACATGTATTATATATTTGGTCTAAGCTTTATTATTTTATGAGTTGTTATTGTTATGCGTAATTTGTTTTATTTATAAGTTTTACCTAACTTTTATTTTCATTTTTTTGTATGTTATTAGTTTTATTTTAAAAAATTATTGTGATTATATAAATTTTAAGTATAATAAATACATAAAAATTTTCAATTATATAAGTAATAAATAAGTTAAACAAATTAATTAACCAGATCAAAGTAAACAGTTTTAAACTTTTATATTTGTTATTGATTTGATATTTATGAGTATATTGTTTTCATACACATTACTTATATATTTTTCCTGTAATTCAAGTATAATACCTATTTAAATGGATAAAATACTTATAAATAATGAGTGTATCTATGCCTAATACTCATCTCTACATTGTAGTATTTGTTACTTATTTTTGCCCAAAATGAGCTAACAATATGCAGCAAAAACCTTGGTCCTTACTAAGTTTCAAGTTTATGGGGTGTTTGGTTTGGATTTACAAATAATTATTATTGTTGAGTCTAATTAAATGGATTAAATATTTTATATTATAAATAATAAAGATTATTAATTGCAAAATTTCAATTATTAGTTATTAATTACATCTAAATAGTTAATCTAAAGGAACCCATAATATTTCCCCCCTTCCCCAAAATTCCCCTATTTCAAAAAAATAAATAAATAAAATAAAATTTTTACAATTTAAATTATATTAAATTATAAACTACACAATATTTTTTTATTATAGTATTATAATAATTTTACTAGTTAAAAATATACTATTGGACTCCTAGAATTAAAGAGTATAAACCAAAAACTAAAAATAGCGATGAAAATAAAGGGAGCTTAGCAAATCATCAATCGGCAAGAAAAAAAATTAAAAAAAAAAAAAATAAAGCCGGGGTGAGGTTATTGTCACTAAAAAATTTATTTTATTTTTTTGTATTAATCTCTTGATATCTAGTAACTACATTAAATTCCAATTAATTTGAAATTGAGTCGCATCAGACCTTATAAGAGAGAAACTCTCTTAATGTCTGTTTTTTCATTTACAAAACTTGAACTCAAAATATTATTTAGAAAAAAAAAAACCGAACTATTTTCACTCAAATCAACAAGTCATTGGTGCTACCAAAGTTTTTATTAACACCATCAATTTGAAATGTAATTTTATTAATTTATAGTTTTTTTCTTAAATATTGTTGGTTATGAAATTTGAAAATGTTTTTTTTATAAATTTATTTTAATATATTAAATATTTTTTTTTTGGGGGTAAGTAATTAACTATGAGCGTAAATTCAGTTTTTTCGGCCCAAAATAATAAACTACGAGTGTAAATGGGTCAAGCCCAGCAAGCACGTCGAAATCTATGGAATTTTCAAATACATGATATTTTTTTATCTTCGGAATTTGGATCCTCATCCCTCTCACCAGCCTTTGAACCCCAGAAGGCCCAGACCCCAAGGCCAAGAAGCCAGATTCTTCGCCAACAGGACCCAATTAGTTTTGACTTTTGAGTTTTTCTGTTTTGGGTTTTTTAAATTTAAATTATTAAAATTAATAATTCAAAATTAAGATTACTAACTTACTGAGTATAAAATTTTAATTAAATACTCAAAACTCCATATTTTTTTTATAGAATTGGTTAATTTTATTTTAGGGTTTTTAAATTTTTAAAAATTAAAATATAAAATTCAAAATTACAACTATACTAAACAAAATATTAATTAACATCTATTAAGCCAATAATTACTGATAAAAATTTGACTGAGTTAATATTTACTAATATTAAAAATTTTGAATCATCAATCATATAATCTAATTATAAAATTATTTGTATTTTTAAACACAAGTTTAAAATTCAATTTTTAATTTTTAAGTTATTAAAAAATAAAATTTTAAATTTAGATTTAAAATTGAGTTCAAATACCTATAATGCTAAATAACTAACATACAACGTAAAAAAAAAAGGAAGGGTGGGGGGGACATAGGGTGGGGCCGTAGCAGTGGGCAAAAACCAGTTTCCATTTTAATTGAAATCGGTTTTTAAATAACCAAAAAAAATTTCTTCAATTTTGAGAACTAAAACTAGACTAAAGTTTTCACAAATTAATTGGTTTGGTTACCAATAAAATCGGTTTAATTTTAATTTTTACTAAATAAATATTAATCAATTATTTTTTCAATAATAAATTATATTTTATCTTATATTTTATCATATTTTATTATATTTTGTCATATTTTGTCTTATATATTTTAATTTCAGTTTCAAAAGACTTATTTTTGGTTTTTCATTTTTGAAAAGTTCAATCAAAATCAAATCAAAAATTATTTGGTTAACATCAAAACCAAAATAATAAAAACCAAAAACTATTGAAACCGAACCAAATTCATTTTTTCAGTTTGGTTTCCAAGTAACCCATTGATTCGGTTTCCAAATCCCCAAGGACCCCAACCATAGGTGTGGTGAGGGGGGGGGGGGGGTGTGTGGAAGAAGAAGAAGAAGGTCAATAACTACTAACTAATGACATAACTAGTACAATCCTGCCGCCATCCCTCTTTCATTATCTCTGTACTTTTTGTTGGTGGATGTAATCGCCTTTGTTTAAGAGATTTTAACTAATTGATCTTCAAAGTATGCTCATTCAATTTGAATTCGGTACTATTCCTGGATTTCTTCGAACACATGCCGCATCTGGTCCTTGTTGGAGAAAGGTGCGAATAATTAAACATGGTAATTTTATACTTTTTTTTATCTAAAAAGATTAATTTTATTAATTTTTAAATAAATATATTAATTTTTTATTTTTTATTTAAAAACGTCAATTTTTTATTTTTTATTTAAATATATTAATTTTTAACTTTTTTTATTTATAAATTAAGTGGATGGTGATATTAAAATACTAAATGGGTTTTTTTAACTAAAATATTAAAAAGTTGATATTTTTAAATAAAAAAATTAAAATGTTGATAATCTTTAATATAAAAAATTAAAAATTATCA